ATGGAAACCAAATGTGGACAAATACAGCTAGGCCTTATAAAAACTGGATTCAGCATAGGCTTAGATGTTTGAGATACTTTTGACAATAAAAGTAAAAGGGATTTCTTACACATATATTCTCCCAACATGTGTATGTATATGTTTGGCCATACCACAACAGTTGCTCCAGGTAACTGCATAAGAATGCCGGAATGGTGTACCTTGTCTCCTCAAAACATAGATGAAACATTTCAGGCCCTCCTTCTTGCATCAGCTACTGCTAGAATGTCTGCTCCTAGCACCCCACCTCCTTCCTGCTTTTTCCTGACTTCAGGTCAGAGAAAGCTGACTGCTGAGTTTTTTTTTTTTTAAATAAAGGAATGTATTGAATTACATAAATAAAAGGTAGGATTAGATTTGGCTCAGGAATTGGCTGACTCTATCTATACACTCAAATGATAGCATCTGGTCACAGCTTCATTCTCTTGACTCCACTTTCCTCTGGGTTTAAGCTTTATTCATGTAAATGGTGGTGCCCAGGAGTTCCAGTCTAACTTCACATTTTAGGCTAGCAACTCCATCAGAAAGATAGCTTTCTTTTCTTTCTTTTTTTTTTTTTTAATATATTTAGTTGTTGATGGACATTTATTTATTTATTTATTTATTTGTATGTGGTGCTGAGAATCGAACCCAGTGCCCTGTGCATGCTAGGCAAGCACGCCACCATTGAGCCACAACCCCAGCCCAGCTTTATTTTCTTAACATTGCCAGAAATCTCCCAAGGAATGAAACTCCTTGAAACAATTTGGGTCATTTGGCCATTGATAATATATCCCTTTGCCAGAATAGTTGTGATGTACCAATTAGCCAGTTCTGGGTGTTGTTCCCAGTCCTGAAGCTAGGAGCAGACAGGGCACCCTAATCTAGGAACCATAGCTGGGAAAGGAGTTAGTTCCCAAAATTGAAGTAGGGTACAACTGGTGGAATAAAGGGAAGTAGATCTTGGATTTTTCAAAGGTATTGCTCTCTAAGGATCCCTTCCCCACCTTCCCAGCACCAATAGCATCCTCACCCTCTTGTATGGCTGCTGGAAATATAACAAAGCTGCCCCAAAACAAGGGAAGGAAGGACAATGGTTTAGTAGAATCTGATCAAGGAGGAAAAAAAATTGCCTACCCCCACTGGTACTGGGGATTAAATCCAGGGCTTTGTGCATACTAGGCAGCTGCTCTACCACTGAGCTACAACTGTCACCTTTTAAGTTTTTATTTTGAGACAGGGTCTTCATAAGTTGCCCAGGTTGGCCTTGAATTTGTGATCCTCCTGCCTCAATCTCCCAATTCAGTGGAATTACAGGTGTGTACTACCACACCCAGCTAAAAAGAGCACTCTTACAGAACCTAAGAAAGAATATAAAAGTATAAAAGTTACCTATGATATGTCAAATACACTTCTTCACAGAACACAGTGAATTTTGGAATAACACCTAAGGTCAAATTGTGTCATCACTTTATGGTCTGTATCAAGTTTTTCCTGTTTTTTGTTTCGGAGCTTCAGCCTTATCTCTTGAAAAGCTATTAACACCCAGGGCTTCTTTTCTCTCTTTAAAAGCAGATGAATCACACATTATTGGTGTTTTCAAGGGATTTTACTTTTTCTTACTAATTGGTGTGAAGTCATGACAGACAGATGGAGATCCAGGATTCAATTGATTGCATAACATTCAACTTCCTTTATTATTACTAACTGGTTTGCAGAAGAGCCAGAAATAGAACACAACTATTTAGACTAATAGTTCATGCATTATTCAACAAATATTTATATTGGGCCTCCTAATTACTCAGATCCAGGGAAAAGATATGGAGTCCTGCCTTATAAGAGTTTACAATCTTTATAAATCCACTTTTCTTTTATCCCAGTTCCAATTTCTTCATGATCTTAAAATGGGGATAGAGCTGACCTTGTCATCCAGACTCAAGTAGACCTCATGGTCAAGCCTTTTTCTTTTCTTACTTTCTTCTTCTTTTTTTTTTTAACATTTTTTTTTCAAAATTTATCTTTTCCTTTCATTCTTCTTTTATCACTGACTCCAAAGTATTAGCAGACAATTCCTTAGTAGCAAATTTTTATAAAATATTCCATAGTTTCTAATGTATTTTCTTGGCATAATCACAGTTGAGTTTCTATTATTCGCAAATAAGTAATTCTCAGCATGCAGTATATCCTCAGTTCTTGGTATTGGTGGCAGGTATTTAAAGAATATTTGTTGAATTAAAGCTACAAATTTTTCTGAGTTAAAGTTATCTAAGTAACATGCCTGTAATGCCAGCAGCTCTGGAGACTGAGGCAGGAGGATCTCTAGTTCAAAGCCAACTTCAGCAAAAGTGAGGTGCTAAGCAACTCAGGGAGATCCTGTCTCTAAATAAAAAGTACAAAATAGGGCTGGGAATGTGGCTCAGGGTTCGAGTGCTCCTCAGTTCAATCCTTGGTATATAAAAAAAATCATACTCTTTAGCTTTGCTACACATCATTATTATTTTTGTTAATGTTAATATTTTAAAATACATTATTATTCCTCAATATGCAATGTTTGATTTTCTCTTTGACCAAAGAGTTTGGTAAACAGATGTTTTTTAAAAAAATTAAGTAGTTGGGAATATTTGCACATGGGTTGGTTTTATTTTGTTTATTTCTAAATTTAAAGTCTGCAGGTCATAAATTGTGGATATATTACTTCTGTGTTTTGGAATTTTTCTTATTTCTTCTTGGAATTTTTTTTTAGATATATTCATATATTTAGTCAGATTCTAGTCAGGGGTTGGTAGGGAGACTGCTTTGGATAACTTTCTGTATAGCTGTTCAAATTATTATATGCCTGCCTTTTTGGCACAATAACTGAACTCTGGATGGAAACCTTATTCCCTGTTTTAACTCTTTAGAGGGGCTATCTCTCTGTTGTCCTATATACTATAGCTCCTTCAAATATACAATGAGATATGTACAGCAGTAGTACGTACCTATTATCGTGCATTGCTATTAGGATTAAATAAGTTAAAACAGTGTTAAATAAAATCTAGTGTGCTGACCATGACAAGCCTTTGAATAACAACTCCAGATATGTTATTATTGTTTTTTCCTGTAACTTGCAGTTTTATTTTAGTAGCATTCCACTTTGATAGAGATAGGATCATTTTCAATTACTCTAACTTCACTCTAACCAAGACAAACAGGGTGAGAGATGAAGAAGAAGAAACAAAAGCCTTCCGAATATCAGAGAGGAAAGAAAAGAAATCATGGGTGTGTGTGTGTGTGTGTGTGTGTGTAACTGAGATGTAATCACAGGGGGTATAACCTTATGCAAGACCTCCTTCAAAGAAAAAAAAAAAAGAGTTAATTTTGTTTCAAACATTTTTACAGGATTCTCTGAGAGAATACACAAGAGTTTGTGAGTAATGTTCCCAAAGCTGAATCCTAATAATGAGAGACACTAATTTTCTACTTTACTGAAATGTTTATGAGGACTTCTTCCTCTCCACTATTAAACCCTCAGGGTAAGTTTGGGTGTTTCATTTCTGGAGACTACTGTTATACACAGGTGTTTGACAAAGAACTCTGAAGCACAATATAAATTTTGTGGGGTTTAAGAGCCTCAGTTTTAGAGTCCAGCAGACTTTGACCAAATTTCAATTCAGTCACTCAATAATTAAGTAAACTGCCTTAACATCCATGACTGGGTGTTTTCATATCTAAAATACATCTACTTTAAGAGGCTGTTAAGTGGATTCAATGAAATGCAAAATATGTAAAATTTAATTCAAAACACTGGGAGACCCTCATTGTTATACAAAATACATGTATGAAGATGTGAAAAAAAAAAAAGAATAGCATTACCCTAGATTAGGTAGAGAGAAATGATGGGAGGGGAGGGAAGGGGATGGGGAGATAGGAAGGATAGTAGAATGAAACAAACATTATTATTACTGTGTGTATATAGGTGACTGCATGACCAGTATACTGCAACGTGTATACTCAGAAAAATGAGAAATTATATCCCATCTGATTCAAATGTATGATATGTCAAGATCATTGTACTGTCATGTGTAACTAAGTAAAACAAATTTAAAAAATTAAAAAAAAAATACACTTTCCCTTAACTATCTCAAGTTATCCAAACAAGGAGCACAATAACTGACTCAAAATAACTAGCAAGTCAATGGAGCTTTAAAACACACAAAGAACTTTTCCATTACTATCTCACAAGCAATCATAAAACAAATTATTATTCTTTTTGTATATAAATAATGAAGATAAAGTTGACCAGAATTGCAATTTTAGCAGATTAAGTGTCTTCACACTGGAAAACATGCTTCTACACTCAAGTAGATGAAAATCTTTGTGAGGTTGCTAAATTCAACCATCACCCTCTCCTCTTTAGTTTCAAAAGTTGTCCTTTGAACTCTCTAATCTGAAGACAAGAAGACCGTTTCACTAGTGATCAAGTCACTGTGCCTGTGACTATTTAATGCTTTACTTCCCAGCGCTTTCAACTCCAACACTTAAGTCAGGATAGGCAGGAGGCTGGAGGGCGAGTCATCCTTGCTTTTGCACACCTTGGGCTTGGGCACATCCAGGACTTTTGGTCCTGTAGGGAGGTGTAAGGCAGCCCTCTGATCCTAGGATTTTCACAACAGAGAAGAATTTGGACCAGGTTTATCCCTCGCGCTCATTGTTCTCTCGGCCTTGCGATCGTTATCGCTCCCAACAGATCAACTGCCTTGCCAAATTCTTTCGCAATTAATTGGCTTCCGTAGGCGGTGACCCATCTAAGCCCACAGTCAACCCCAGACACTCTAGGAACTCAGAAAAGGCTCGGGCCAGCCCAGACCCACGCGAAATCATTCCATTTCCCGGTGACCAATCAGCGCTCCACACGCTGCCGCGCCAGCCAATCCTAGCAAGTACACACCGTTCCTACCAAGAAGTCCCACTAGTCCCCCGAGCACCTAAATCCGAGCAGGGGTGGAGTTGGCGGGGAGCGTCCCGCCTTGCCCTGAAGCGCTCGATCCTTCCAATTGGCTGCGACTGGCAGGGAGTGGATTCCCATTGGCTGCTGCCTGCCGCGCCTCGCCTGGGAAACTGAAAGGATCTGAACTCCTCTGTGTTGCTGGAGGCGGCGAGTCCGGCGTTTACCTGGAGCACCGGAGCTGCATCCTAGAACCTCTGGTGTTGGCGGGGAGAGGTAAGGATCCCCGGCGGGCGTGGAGCGGGCGCGGGGAGAAAGGTGACTGGAGCATCCGGGGCGTCCTGCCGAGTGCGGAGCTGTTCCAGAGGTGGGGTGAGGGAGGCCGCGGTGGAGATCGGGGATGGCGGACCCTGCTGTCCCGGGGGATGTGGCCCTCACAGGGGAGAGGGAAAACAGGACCGTGGAGAGGAAGGGGAGACCGCCCGCCAGTTTAAGGATTTTTGACGCCAGCTAGGTCTCAGTTTCTTCATCTGTTAAATGGGGGAGGGGCGGCAGCGATCAGGCTTGTCAGGCTGTGGTGAAGGTTTTTCTGAAGGCATGCTCTGAGAAGGACACAGCGCTTCCTGGTTCTTGGTGGATGCACCGTTGGCGCAGGGTCCGTCCCCTCCCACCAAGCTCAAGGAGATGATTTCCCCGGTGCTTCCTGTTTTCCAGGTCCGATGCTGTAGGTATCAACTCATATAATTCCTCAAAAAATAACTGCTCCTATTTTTATTTTCTTAAATTTGCACTCGAGAAAGATTACCCGAGATTTTGGGGTATGGGAGCCAGGACAAAATTTGACAAAATCATTGCGGAGTAAGGGTTTTCATGTTCAATCTCTTACAGCTGGTGATCAGTTTGCATCATTTTTTTCAAGAATTCAGACACCCTGTGTTGGAATTTGGACTCCTTCACTTATTTAGCTGTACTATCTTAGACAAGTGACTTAACCTCCCTGTTGCTGTTTTCCCATTCTGTAAAATAGGAGTAATGTCAAGATGAACCCTTATTGTTGTTTATGAGGATTAAATGAAATACAGTGTAAAGCAACCAGAAAAATTGAACAGTAAGTGATCAGTAAATGTTAGCAATTACTATTTTAAATAAAGGATTAGAACATTAAGGATTTACACTAACCTGGACTCAAAAATTAAAGCTGTTATAGCATGAGAATTTAAATGGCAAGTGTTGTAAAAGCTAATAAATTAAGGTGAGCACTTGAAACAAAGGATCATAGTCACGCTGCAAAAGTACGCTTTCAGGTTGCATTCCCTTATTTAGTGAGTTCCTGCAAAGACCAGTTTTAAAAGTGAGAAACTACAGGACTCAGTTTGAAAAGCCAAATTACCAGATCAAGATTGATTGGAAAGGAAGCATATGCTGGAACTTATATGTTAGAAAATATAACTCAGGTCATAAGGCCTTAGTTTTCCCTTAGTTTGCACAACTCATTGGGGACAGTCTATGGTATGTTAAATTGAATTTATTCACATTCATAAAAACCATGTTAATTAAGTAATGGAAGGTTAAGTAATTCTGATTCTTGAGCTTCTTTAACAAGTGTATTCTAACCTAGTCATACTGTGTAAGTACAAATGGATCTTTATGGCATTTACTTTTTATTTGAGGGAAAAGTGTTTTATTGTTTTATATTTAGAAGGAAACCTATGACCATTTTACTGTAAGATATATATATATATATAGGATAATAACTGGAGTTGGATTGGTTAAGACTGGATGGCCTCAAGAACCTTTTTAACTTGAGAAGGTTGCTGACTCTATGATGGCATCTTCTGTTATCACTAATGGTCATTCAAAAACATGGACATAGAAAACATAAACATAAACAGAAAGGTTAATTTAAGGACAGGATATGGAGATGGAAGTTAGTCAACACTTGCCAAGAGTATATAATCTTATAAAGAGATTATAAGATTCTAATAAGGTTAAGTGTTGCCTATTCTGTTTGACATGTGTTACAGTTGGAGAATTTCCTGATATAAAGTCAGGAAATGGAATAAAAGATTGAAATAGTAAGAGGGAATCCAAAGTGCTTTATTGTATCGGGAGAGAACCAAAGCGTTGGTAACCCCAGTGCCATTCACTCTCTTTGGTGTTCAACATTTTGAGAGATGCTCAGTCATGTCTGTTCACACAGAGATAGAAATTTAGGCAGTTACCTTTGTTTTGTTTTAAACTTATTCGTGATGAAAATAAATCCATGCAAGAATTAACCACCTGCTTAAATACTTTGCACTAAAAAGAAAGCTTCCTGATTTTATAGTTACTTTTTTCTCTTCCTACCTCCCATTTCACCAGCCTTTTAAGAAACTATAAGAAGTTTTTAATGCTTTAATTGTTATTATTGCTGTTAATGTTTATTTAAAGGGTGGAATTAGTCAACATTAAGAGCAAATATACTAGATTCTTGGTAAATACTTAGTGTAGACCTCTGAGAATTGTTATCTTTTCATTTTGGTCATGAGAATTTGTTATTCAGAAGCTCGATAATGATAGGTGTAAATGGGCACACATTAGATATCGTGAGGTCTTTCATACATGAGATTACCAGCTCATTCTCTGTATATTTTCCCTTTTAAAATTCACTGGATTCCTAACTGAATGCTAGATATAGGAGTATAACAAGCTACATTTCCTGCCCCCAAATGTTTTACAATTAAATGGGAAAAGATAGTATATAATTATAATACAGAGTTTCTGTAAGGAAGTTGGGGAATAATTACTAAGACAAGCACCTTAAAGTTTCAGATTCTGTGTGTGTGTGTGTGTGTGTGTGTGTGTGAGAGAGAGAGAGAGAGAGAGAGAGAGAGAGAGAGAGAGATATGCTGGGGATTGAACCCAGGGTCTATGTGCATGCAAGGCAAGCACTCTACCAACTGAGCTATATATCCTGCTCCCAGATTCTCATTTTTCTTGTTAGCTTTTATTGCTTGCTTTTTCTGTGCTGGATCTGCACAGATATATTTGCTTATGATAATTTCTATATCACCTCTGATTTCTATCAAGGAGTTTTGAAAAAATACTCTTATCTTCCAACCACAGGAACATGGCAGTGACCTTTGGGTTTAAAGAATGTTGTTTAATCATAATGATCACAGTAATAGATGAATATCTTTTATAAGTTCTAAGTGCTCTAAGAACTTGTGCTTGTTTGACATAGCCCTCAATAGAGTCATTGTATAGTCAAGTTGGCAGCCACTTGAGTGGAGATTAGATATATTCGTGACTGGTAGACAATTAAAATGAGCTCATCTACTTTCTATGTATGGTAGGATATGTACATATTATACATTTTACATCACTTAAATGGATCTTAAATTCTATATTCTTAAATTTTCTACACGTACTTTCTCATATTTCTATGTAATTTTTAAATTTACCAGTTTTAATGCTTTGTACGCTTTACTTTGCGCTACTTAAATATTGACTACAACTTTGATTTATTCCTGTCTGTCACCTTTGGTTTTTAGATGAGTGGTTCTCAACCCTGGCTAGGTGACAGAATCATCAGTGAAACTTTTTAAAGACCTAGATTTCAGTGTCCTAGCCCAGAATAGATCCACTGAATCAGACTATTTGGCAGTGAGCTCTGAAATCTAATATGTAAAACCAGCAACAACTACTACAGAATATATAACAAAGGTGGATCTGATGGTCGTAGCATCTGTAATTGAAAATTGCAGCCTTATTCCCTAGAGGTTTGAGGCTTGAGATTTTTATTTAGATTTTTTCATGTTGTTCATCCATCTTAGTAATTTCATGATTCTGTAATGAGTAGCTTTTCTCCAAACTTTCTGTCCTTCAGTCTTTTACTGGAATGGGAAGAACAGAGATAAAATAGGGTAAAATAGAAATAATACTAAGAAATCAAGCTCTGGCACCAAAAAAAGACAAAGTAATATCAAATCTTGTTTTGAAGGAAAAACAATAATATCACTAAGGGTCTGTTAGTAGTGTGCCACATAGTATGTAGGTGTATAGGAGGTAGTGATAAGACAGACAAGGATCCCTCTTGCATGAGTTGGGTATAAAGTGGTAAAAGAGATGAAAAATATCCCTATAAATAAACAAATTCATTTAAGATAGTGATAGGCACTATGAAGAAAATCAAATATATAATAGTAACTTGCAAAAGGCTATATTAAGGACAGGAGGTTTAAACTTAAGTTGTTGTTAATAGGTTAAGATTTAGGATCTAGCAGTCTAGGCAGAGAAATAACAGGTATAGAGACCCAAAGCTCGTGATAAGCTTGTCCAGTTTGAAGGACACAAAGAAAATCCCAGGGTATGGTGATGTGAATAGGAATCTATTACTATTAAGGATGATTTCAAGCTTTTTGACTTGAGAACCTGAGCTCAATTACCATTTTAATAGTAAATTATTAACATGAGGAATACTGATACTAATTTAGATGCTCCTTAGGATTGAAAGTCCAAGTAGGCTCCAGATCTCTAACTTGCCAGAGAGATGAGGATTAAAGGTAAGTATTTGGGTGTAAGCAGCACATATATAAGAGAGACAATGCCCCCTTTTGGCTCCCTCCATTTCCCCTTTTATTTTTTTATATGGGCAGTTTTAATAACTGTCAGAAAAGTGTGATTTTCATTCCTGGCTATGGGTTATTCACCTTAAGAGCTTTTTCAAAAAACCCATGCCCTGGTTCTATTCTCAGAGATTCTGATTAGCTTATCTGTGGTGGGGGCCAGGTATAGATATCTTTTATAGCTCTTCAAGGAGAATCTATTGTGAAGCCAGATTTATGACTTCCTGGCATCAAACTACAGGATTTGCTAATGCTCATCTTGGTCTCTGTGACAGAGAGAAAAATATGGAAGGCCTGCCTGATGTTGCTTCTTTTTCAAGTCGACTCAAAAACACTCTTATTCAGTACCATAATATTGAAGATGACAATTGGCGAGTTGCAAAAAAAACGGTAAATTAATCCAGTTACTTCTTATGTTTGGGGTATATCCAATGAATCGGTTGATGACTTTCAAAATGATATGAAAAATACAAATAAAAGATCATATTTGGAATGGAAGTGCAAGACAGATAATTATTTAAATAGGGTTTGTGGATCATTTTACAAAGAAAGAAACATCAGTAGTAATCTTACCCTGCTTTTATTTTAGATATTAAACATGAGAGCAGGGTCATGGCAACCAGAACCTTAAGAATAGCTTTCTGAATCAACATAGGGTATTATTATTAGTAATTTGAGGGAGTATAGTAATTGATAGTTTGAAATAGTTTCAGATATGGGAACAAGACTTCAAAGGTGGTCAGTTAGTATTCATCTTTACCAGTAACTTGCCCAAAATGTGACATGGCTAAGTGCACTCAGAACCAAGCCTGGAAGTCAAGACTCTTATAGACCTGGTTATTCTGTGCTTTAGTTGTTCTGATGTTCAAAATTACTTGGGAATTGATTGGGGGAAAATGTAGTAATTAATTCAAAATAACACAATCATAATAAATGTGAGTTGTTTAATTTTTAAAAAGTTGTGAACAATTTAGAATAAAATATTTAATGTTCTTAATGTCATAGTATCAGTAATAAGTACATAGTAAATAGATAAGATAGAAATAAGGCAAATAAAAATGGCCACTAGAATAGGCCCATCACTGAGTCTTCTTGTGTTTGAGTATTATTAAGCCACTAAAAATATTTTTGAAGGTCTGTAATTTTAAGTACAGTGTGATACAGAAGAAATTCAAATATGGATCATTTTGTGATGTAGATAACTTTTATGCATTTCTAAAAATGTACTTAATAGTTTTTTTTAATGTAAAGTCAGGTGTTTTTGACTTATAAAATTTCATTCCAGCGTTCCACCTATGTGATTTATGTAATTATCACAGTAATGTTTTTTATCTTTCTAGAAAGATGTAACAGTTTGGAGAAAACCTTCAGAAGAATTTAATGGGTATCTGTAAGTAAATTTTGTAGTTTTGTGTAACTCTTAAGATATTACTAAACTTCTATGTATACACTGTCACTAAATGATTATTGCTAACAAAATTTGGCTTTTGCTTTAAAAAATGTAAACTTTCTGGAAAGTAAATTGGTTCCTTATGATTGAGAACTTCAAAAATGTCTTATCCTGGGCTGGGGATGTGGCTCAAGCGGTAGCGCGCTCGCCTGGCATGCGTGCGGCCCGAGTTCGATCCTCAGCACCACATACCAACAAAGATGTTGTGTCCGCCGAGAACTAAAAAAATAAAATAAAATATTAAAAGTTCTCTCACTCTCTCTCTCTCCTCTCTCACTCTCTCTTTAAAAAAAAAATGTCTTATCCTTTGTGGACTGAGTTGGTGGTGAGGAGGTCATAAATAATATCAGATGGCTGATAAAATCTTAATTTCTTAGCCTAGGGTACATGACTCAGTGCTATAACATGCTGTATTCTAAGAATTTATCCTGAAGAAAGCGTCAGCAAGATAATAGTGATATAAATAGTTGCTATTTTATCATGACATTATTTAGATTTTTAAAAATGAAACAACCTGAAAAACCAATGGTAGGAGTGGTTAAATTATGAAACCTCTGTGAAAAAATATCATTTGGCCTTTAAAATTGTGTTTTTAAATATTATTTAATAGCATAAGAAAGTGCTTATAATACAAAGAGAATAAAGCAGAATACTAAATGGTAGGTAGCATAATTATGAGTATTTTAAATATGTTTTTATTATTAAAATGTTTTCTTGTGACCAGATGTTCACTTCTAGATAGCAGCATTATGAAGATTATTTCTCGTTTTTGGTCTTTGCATATAGATGAATTATGCCTATTGTTAAGAAAAATATATTGTTTTTCACATCCAGTGGAGACAGCTGCTTTGTGTAATCAAAGTAGAATGTTCACATCCTTAGGATTCACAACCCTTTAATAAAAATGAAATTGCTGACTCCACTGAGTATATTCAGAATATGCTAAAGTATAATATCATAACTAATGTTTCCAGAAAGTCGAATTGTACAATATTTATAACAAGGACCAGAAAAGTATAGTTTGAGCATTATAAACAAGTATGCAAAAGTTGGAAAGTATAAAAAGTGCCAAGGGAACACTATGCTTGGAAATTTGGAAAGACCTCATGGAGGAGCTAATATTTGAATTGAGACTTAAAGGAATTCTTAAGGAATGAAGAACTGATTGAAATTCTAGTCAGAGGAAATTGCACCTATTACTTAAACATAGATGAGAGACCCTTTTAAAGAATATTATTTAGGAATGTGTTTGTATAGCCAGAATATAAAGCATGGGTGTGAGGAGAACTTGTGTCCAGAAAGGCTTTGGATTCTAAAGTAAGGAAAGCAGTGTCACTTGCTCTCTGCACACTCCTCTATTTGTTCCTTAGGTGCTCAAAGGATTTTGAAATAATGCTGTGAACATGAAGAGTTCTAAGAAGAGGTTTTACCTGGGATCCATGGCTAGAAGTTCCTCTCATATTGTATACAAAATTTCCTAACAATATATATTTTCCTAGGAAAAGTTATGACTTTTTTCAGATTCTTAAAAGAATATATGATCAGAAGAGGTAGAAACTGATAAAGTTTGAGTAGACACAGACTACCCAAACTAAGGCATGCAAGTTGAAAAGAGCAAGTGACTGTGAAAGAGATTTAATGATGGTAGTGGTGGGCCTAGTGGTGATGGTGATGATAACTAACGTGTTGAGAGCAAGATAATGTACTAAGTACTTTATATGTAGGAAACCATTTTAATAAAATCAAAGTGATTGATTCATTCTAGCTGTGGAATAGATTTTAAAGAAAAAGGAGAGTCAGAGTTGAATTCCAGATTTCTAATTTGTGTGACTAGATAATTTTGTGTTTATTTCCCATCCCCGTTACCCCAAGTTAGAGAATATAAGAGGGAGGAGAAAATTTAGAATGAGGGAGAATTAAGTTTAGCTTGAGACATTTATAAAATGATTAAACAGCTTCAGATGCTTAAAAATAAGTTACTGATAGAGTTGAAACCAAACTATCCCATATTTCATCTCCCAAAGGTAGCTACTCTCCTGAAGCTGTGTGTATAATTCCTGTTTCAAACCTTGACCACACATTCATATGTCCATAAAAAAATAAAAACATATTATCTGATATGTTCTTTATATTATTTGTTTACAAATTTGTCTGTTGATAGATTTTTAGGTTATTGTTGATTCTGGGTTCATGTTTCCTTACACAAGTGATTTTCTCTGGGTCTTAGTGATGAACACCATACAACTTTACTAGACATTGCCAAATTGCTCCTTAAAGTAGCAGTTTTAAGAGTTCTCACCTTCCTCCTTTCAACACTGTCACATTTTTAATCTGCTAATCTGAGGGGTATAAATGAGTATATACTTGATTACTAGTGAAGTTGGCCATTTTTTGTATATTTATTGATATTTCAAGCCAATCTTAATATACCTTTTGCCCATCTTTTGTTTGGATTGTCTTTTTCTCACTGGATTATAGGAATCATTCCTGTGTCCTCTATAATAATTGTGCGTCTTTTATATGTGTTGCAGGTATCTTCTCAAAGTGTATGAGTAGTTTAAAAATTATTTTTTTATGTGTGGTGTGCACATTTAAAATTGTAACTGATCTTTTGTATTATTTGTACTTTTGTGAATCTTGTATATTCAAGAAATCCCCCTGTATTCTGAAGTCACAAAGATCATCTTGTATATTTTTTCTCTAAGCTTTACATTTTACACAGAAGTATTTAATCTATCTAGAATTAATCATTTTGTATGGTGTGAAGTGTGAATCCTAATTTATTTTCTTCATAAAAATTTTTGTTGAATCTAAATATTGCTTATGGAAGAGTACCTTTTCTCCCAATGATGTGTACTGTTACCTTTGAAGTGTGTCAAGTTCCCTGTATTCATGAGTCACTTTTTCAGTGTTCACTGGCCTATTTTTCTGTACCTTTTCATTAAAAAGCTTGTAAAAATTAGGGTAAAAATATGCACAGACTGATATGTTTAATGATAACTGAGGAAAGAGTAATATACAAATTAAATGGAAGTATTATAGTGTTCTGTGGACTAGTTTTGACTATATTATAACATGAAAGGACTAATTAGATTTGAGGACAAATGGTACTTTTAATAAAATAATTGGTAGAACTTAATTTACCAGAAAAGTCCTAGGTATTTACTCCTTTCTAAAAAACCTGCATTAATTTTTACTTCTACTTTCAGTGTTAGTTCTGAACTGTGAGGGCATCTTGAAATTTTTCATACTAATTATATTTAACTTTAATTTTCTATCTCCAGCTATAAAGCTCAAGGTGTTATAGATGACATTGTCAATAGTGTAATAGACCATATACGCCCAGGGCCCTGTCGCTTGGATTGGGACCGTTTAATGACTTCATTGGATATTTTGGAGCACTTTGAAGAGGTATCTGTTCAGAATCATTACTTTCAGATTGTGTGTGTGTGTGTGTGTGTGTGTGTGTAAGAGAGAGAGAAAAGGGGAGAGAGAAAGTGTGTACTAGCATGTACATGCATGGGAGCATGAGCATTTGTACACAATTATATTCATATTCATTTTATCCATTGTGTTAAGAATAGGTGTGTCTAATAGGATATTCTTAAAAACATTTGAGTTTCCTCATATTAATTAAGGGGTATTAGTCTAAGTTTGTTTTCTACAATAGCTCCACCCTTACTGCTGAAGAAAATCTTTTTCATGAATTTTAAAACTTTAGTTAAAGTTCAAAAATCTGAACTTCTGAAAACACCACAATTATATTTAGGTTTCTAGGCAAATGTATATTGTTTTTTCATTAATCCTAAGTCAAAATCAAAGACCAAAGTAAAAATGCTACCTTAAGCATTAGAGAACTGTGTATCCCAAACAACTTGTTCTTTTCTGCCTTTGTTAATTCATTTCTTAATATATTTATGTTTAAATTAAAAATGTAATATTGTAGTTGAAATATTTGTAAGTTTTTATCTTCAGCAGTCTAAAACAGCCTATACCCCTAATTAGGAATTTAATTTCCTCATTAATGGAATTAATTTTTAATCTCTAAATATCTTATTTCTATCTGTATAATAGTAATGAGTTTTAGAATAGGGATCTACACCTGTTAAAGTCATTCTAAGAATTATCATGTAATAGTAAAATATTTTAAATGAATGTTAGTTTTTTATTGGAGATTACATTATGATGTATATGGGTATATTCCTGTAGTAGTAATATCTGTCTTATCTTTCTTCATTTTTAAGAATTGTTGTGTGATGCGTTATACTACTGCTGGTCAGCTTTGGAATATAATTTCCCCAAGAGAGTTTGTTGATTTCTCTTACACTGTGGGCTATAAAGACGGACTTTTATCCTGTGGTAATTATCTCAAAATTCTGTACTTTCTTTAGTTTGATTTATATATTTGAGTTTTCTGGACTGGAATTTTGTTTCTTTATGGAGATTTATTTTCAGCCCTCATAGTTAATATTAACATTTGTAATTTTTTTTTCAAATTCTAAACCTTAGAGAGTATAATAACAACATAAGAAGGTTTTTAAAAATCTTTCTCATAATTTTTTGTTCCCAGTTATCTGGTATCCTTTAGTTAACAAGTTTCAGAAATGAATTCACAATAGACTGCCTCTGAGAAAGGAATTCAGTAAATGGATTTCCTTCCAAACCTGTTTCAGATACTGTCTTCTTGGCATGTGTACACACACACATACACACACACATATATACACACACACACACACACAAAATAGATTTGATATATGTTAGAATATTTTTCTTTGTTTGAACTGTATTGTATTTTTTTATGATTTAAAATACTAATCTTGGAAGGCTCCTGTTTTCTAAATACATATATTTTTTAAATATATGTATTTTTTTCTAAATACGTATATTTTTTATGTGTAGTATACACTTGAATTTACAGTTATAGGTAATCATCTACTTGTTTATGCTTAACTAGTCAGTATCAAAGTTAGATATAGTAGTGCCTGTGAGAAATAGTTGTGGTACCATAGATTAGATTATTAATGCCTTAAACCTTGACTGTCACAGCCAAGATTTGAAGTTTCTAACAAGTTACCAGGATGACATGATGTCATCTGATTTGAAGGAATTAGAACATTCCCTATTACCTATCTACCCAACCCTTGTGAGAATTCTCCTTAGTAATTATCTTCTTCATTCTGTCATGGTCCCTCTTGGGGCTTTAATTTCCACCTATATTGATGAGAAGAAACATATTTAAACAAATTTTGTAGTATTTTTAAATGAGAGTTTAAACACATTCAGTCATTGCTATTCACAGTTTTATTTTAAAATTGCCTTGTAGGAATAAGTCTTGACTGGAGTGAAAAGAGACCTGAATTTGTTCGTGGATATAATCATCCCTGTGGTTGGTTTTGTGTTCCACTCAAAGACAATCCAAACCAAAGTCTTTTGACAGGCTATATTCAGACAGATCTATGTGGAATGATTCCTCAGTCTGCGGTGGATACTGCCATGGCAAGCACTTTAACCAACTTCTACAGTGATTTACGGAAAGCCTTACAAAAGGCATAATATGTTCAAACTTGCAGTACTGTGACCCCTGACTCTGCTCTTTCCCTCCTGCTGCAAGTCCTCTAAAGATCATCTATTTTTCTCTTCTGCAGAACCTGTAGAAACATTTGGGATGTTTTTTGTAGCGTAATGTTTTATTTTATTCCTAAATTAAATTTCTGTATAAAAGAGATTATTGTTATTATTACATAATATTAATAATGTAATAATTGGTAATAATAATTAATAATCATTGCATATTATTATTATTACATTTTCATTTGTCCATTGTTTGGTATGATAGTGTGTCTAGTAATGGAGAGTGTGACAGAAATGCATAAAGAAGTAAGTACAGTTCTTTGGCTTAGACTGTTCACATAAATTGAATAGTGCCTCAGTGTGAATATTTTGATTGCTTAGAAATTAGATGAAGCACAAACTTCATGTTTTCATACTATTTAAGAGCTTTATGAACATTTATAGAATTTTAATTTTTTTGAAGGTAAATGTTAGTCTTTTCCTTTTGGTGTTTTCTATTAGTTTGCCAATGTCTTGAACAAAAGAAAATAAAGCCTTTCTTTATATTTTATAAGATAGACTTCATTGTCAATTGAACTTGCACTACTTTAAGTATTAAAGAGACCAAAAATGAGAAAAGAATAGTAACTGCAGATATAATTCAAATATAATTTAGTTTTGATATCTAGTTAACATTCTTTTGTAATATCTTTATTACATTTGTGCATTTGTTTTGGGAGTCTGAGAGCATTTATGCGTGAATGTGATAATGCAAAACAATTGCCAAATATGTGTTGGGTATACTACACTGATTGAGCAATAGTCCGGGTTGTGTGAAATGGCTGGTGGTATCTAGTAATCATCAACAGAGTCATCTCTAGGAAATCAGGATCAGTGAATGTACATGTTTCAATTTTAGAAGTATTACTCAACTCAAAGCACTATAAACTGCAACATAAACATGTAAACATTCACAACTCTGATATCACTTTTGTCTAAAACTATAACAAATATATTCATAGACACAGACATTTTGTATTGATTAGAATGAACTATTATAGGTCCTTTGTTTCTATGGCTGTCTTAAGTCATCATTCTTTAATGATTTTTTTTTTATTTCAAATGATTCTTTGGCTGTTGAACTATCCACCTAGTTTACTTTTAAGTTGAGAACCTGAGCCCACTCTATGTGTCTTTGTAAATCTTGTATGTATATATAGGTTTGTGTACGTGTACATGTATTGAAATCTCAATGTTCAATGTCAATTCTTAATATGCTACTATTACTATTTCTATTATTTCATTTCTTTTTCCTTTTTTTGGTGGGAGGTGGGGGGACATAATATGGGATAAAGTGAGCCCTGGAAATAATTACATGCAGGCAGGCCGCAGAAAAGCACAAAAGTATATAGTGGTTCAGGTGCATGAAGCCTTGATCTTTGTTTAACTTTAGAAATTTATAAGCAGCTATTAGGTGATATTTTAGATTATTTTAGATCTGCTGAGCTCCAGCTGCGTACTGCTTATTAAAAAACAGCTTATTGAGATAAAGTTGCATAATCTACAGTTTATCCATGTTAAGTCTATAATTGAATAATTTAAAAAAATATATTTATAGAGTTATGCAGCTAAAACTAGATTCCAGTTTTAGAACATTTCCATCACTCCAAAAAATCCTTTTTGTCAGTTTGCAGACTCATATCTAACCTAAGTTTACTATAGTTGCCAGTATAAAGAAGATGATGAAAATGATTATAATAGGTCATTTTTGGTCTTGTTTTTAAGAGTGCAAGTGTGTGTGATTTAAACTCAGGAACCTTGTGATAATATAGTAGACATGTTATCTCTAATGTCATAATTTAATGTAGGATTGATATTAACGTATAATTGAGTATGCTGTTTGTATAAGGAGTGCCGTAGGATAGAAAAATAATCTAAGCCATGTATGTAATTTTAAAATTTTCTAGCAGCCACATTAAAAAATAAAAATAAGCAGATGAAAATAATTTTAATAATATATTTTATTTAACTCAATATATCCAAAATATTCTTATTTCAACATGTAGTCAATGTAAAAAAATTATTGAGATAGTTTATATTCTTCTGTACTAATTACTCGAAATCTAGAAGTGTGTTTTGCTGATTGGGACTAGCCATATTTTAAGTGCTGCTTAGCCACATGTCAGTGATTACTGTAATATTTATTATTCAGCATAGTTCTGTACTGTATTTATTCATTTGTTTTGCTACAAGGTGAAGTAGATAATTTCATGAAATTACTTTCTCAAGTAGAAGTCTTCTGTAGTCTCTATAGTCTTCAATACTTGCTAAATAGGATATCTGAGTTTTATAAATAAATCAATAAAATAAAATTATTGAGTGACCCCATGCTTTGGGCCTCTAGTAAGGTGCCACATTATTGGAGGCATGTGGTACAGCAAACTTCTTACTTTATGTGGTTCAGTAGTAGAGCAGTGTTTGCCCACATCTGAGGTACTGGGTTCAATTCTCAGCACCACATAAAAACAAATAAATAAAATAAAGGTATTGTGTTCATCCACAACTAAAAAAAAAAAAAAAAATAGTGAGCCCAAATATTTTCCTTTAAAGATAAATAACTTTTGATAAGGCAATTGTGGAAGTGAAAAAACATAATCTGCCTTTTATATGTGGTTGATTGTTTTCTGTACTTTATAGTTAGTATGTTCTAGAAACTTGTATATATAGAAAATAGTCAACATAGTACTGTTTTCAGCACATAGTGGCTATTTTTTAAGGAAATTAATTTCATACAGTAAGAAGTAATTTGTCATAAATGACACTTTTGCATGAAATACTGGTTTGTGTTGATAACTCTTAATTAGTCCTGGATGTTTAAAACAATACTCAGCAAAAATAATTACAGGAATTTGATGTTCTGTGTCAATCTATAATTTAAACTGCCAGAGTAGGAGAGATTGTAAGTTAGGAATCTCTTCATCTCAATGTTCCTTGAGATTGGATGTATTTGAAATTGATTTCCATATGTAAAATGGAGATTTTAGTTTCTTTTTCCTCCTCTGCTCCTAACTGAAGGACATTTTATCAGTACTCAGGTTGAATTAAATTAACATATGAAGCTAAAAACTCTGTAATTGAGGTTGCCTCTGAAGAAGATAGGAAAGCCCTTAATTGTATATTGAACTTTTAGCTCAGAAATTTGATGTAGATAGCAGTTTTACCTCTTTACTCAGCATACTAGCATCCTTAGTATCAGATGTTAAATCCAGTTTCTTTTTATTAAGTGGATACTGTAGCTTTCTCAACTCAATATTTAAATTAACAAAGGAGCTAAGGGAAATTTGGACTTTGTCAGATTTCCATTAGCACCTGTATTGTATAATTACTAGTCCATTGTATCTCCATGCCTTTCTTGTTTTCTTTTTTCTGTGCGAGCGATCAGATCAGGGCCTCATGCATGCTAGGCAAGTGCTCTACTATTGAGCCACATTGCCAGTCCTCAGTTTATCTCACTGCATTTCTGGAAATAGGGCATAATAGGATTGGAGCATAGAAGAAATATTAGATTCATTCAAAAGCACAGAAAGTTGGAATTATAATTTCTTCATTATTGTGTTGCTTCTAAGTGTTTTACATATGTAGCTGAATATTAAAATTTTATCTTTTACAATTCAAGAAAAGGTGTATTCTATATAGATATAGAGTTTATAATTATTTTATGAAGCAGTTTATAAAATAATAGCAGCATTATTAGTATGAATAAAATGCATACTTATTTTTTAATTGCTATGAAATATATTAGAATAAAAACTTGTAGACACATTTGTAATGAGTCATTGATCTTGTCTGAGTAAGTTTCTTTAACCTTAAATAATGACTAAATATTTAGTTTTATATATCTAGATTTAAAGTACATAATTTAACTTCATAAACAGTTACAAGTGAAATATATAAACCTGGAAAATAAAGTTAACAACACATAGGATAATCTCCCACTAACCTCATATATGTTAGCCACAATACTGCTGCTTCCATGGTGCTGAATCTTTGCTATACTGTATTAGCTTTCCATTACTATTATAAAATACCAGATGAAATTAATTTGAGAAAAAGTTTACTTTGCCTCACAGTTCTGGAGCTTCCAATCCAGAAGCAAGTGACCCCATGCTTTGGGCCTCTGGTAGGGTGCCACATTATTATGGAGGCATGTGGTACAGCAAACTTTTTACTTTATGAGCCCTGAAATGAAGAGAAAGAAAGAAATCAAGGTTCCCCGTCCCTTGCAAGGGCATGTTCCCAGTGACCTGTGGAACTTCCATTGCCACCTCAGACTATTACTACCCTAGGATCAAGCCTTTAACACAAGGGCCTTTTGGGGGCATTCAGCATCCAAACTATAGTAGTTAATATATACTTAGATAGAATGTATTCTGCCTTCATTGCAATAACATATGGTCAGAGTTTATCATGCATGTGTTCAAATAATATACTAAGTTGATTAGAAACTATGGATAATTTCATTTAGAATTGAAAAAAGCTGTAAATAATTATAAGGACACCCATGATTCATATTATAAAAAAGCAATTAGGGATGTGTGTAATTGGAAATATGATTATCAAGTGGCTTAAACAAATGGAAAGTTATTTTCCTCATTTAATAATAATAATAATAATAATAATAAAAACCCTGGTACTATCATCAGAATGTTTGTGTTCTCCCTGTACATTCGTATAATGAAATCCTAACCCCCAAGGTGATGGCTCTAGGAGGTGGGGCTCTGGGAGGTAACTAGGTCACCCTCATGAATGTATTTAGTACCCCTATAAAAGGCCCAAATGAGATCCTCACTCCTTCTGCCATGTGAGGACACAGTGAGAAGGCACTCTGAGGAAGTTGGCCCTTACCAGGTCCCAAATGTCAAAGCACCTTGATCTTGAAAGTCCTCCAAAAATGCCAGAGATAAATTTGTTTACCAATCACCTAGTTTATGGTATTTTGTTATAGCCCCTGGAATAGGCTAAGACATCTGGGTATAGGTAATTTGTCAATGTTTCTCAGCTCAAGGTTGTCAGACTCAGTGTTTCCACAGTCGTCTTGATCTTTCCCTTGTAATTATAAGATAACTGGCTGGTCCTGGAAATACAGGTGCAGTCAAGATGCAGGGGAAGGAAGGGCATCTCTCAGCTTCATCTATCTTATCAGAAAAGTATGACCTTTTTTCTAAAAGCCTCCAGTAGCTTTTATTCCTGCTGGTCTGGATCACACAACTATGCATAACTGTAATGGTGACTGGGAACAAGCACAAGGGCTCCTAGCTTCTGGGAGAGGCAGCTGACCATAACTGGAGAGTCAACCATACCATCACCCACTGGATCAATTTTGGGAAGTGTGTGTAAAGCTCCTGTAGATGTTGTGTAGAAAATGATGGACCCTTAATGTAGAAATGAAAAAATAGTAATTTGTTTTCTTCAAAAAACATTTTGAGCCCCTTTTAATGACAGATGCTACATGGCTATTTCTAATTGATGTAATGAGGTGATGGAATTTTCCCTTGTAGGTTGTTTGGGTTGTTTGTTGATAATTGATGTCACATGGCATCCAATGTGAATGATCTGTGTTTGTATTGTTGCCCTGTTTCTTTACTTTGGACTAAAGGGTTCATATGGAAGGCCTTCATAGTCAAGCAAGGACAGAAAATGCTGAAAAATGAACTGCAAATATATCCCAGGAGATACCGAGGGTGGGTCCATACTACTTGTGTTATAAGTTGTACGTGATTAGAGAAGTGCAGAATTCTGTGATAAAAATATGGAGGAAGCAGAGGGTTTATGTTCCAAAATAGGCTTTTATTCATTCATATTCTTTTCCAGAAGCTTTACCTTCCTACTTGTGTGTGTGTGTGTTTTTTTTTTTTTTTTTAAAGTCCAGGGCAGCTGACTTTTGATTAAAGGAAGGAAATAGTCTAGAGATTGCACAAAACCAGATTGAAGTAAAAATAAGGCAGATTTCATATATCAAAAATTGATTAATTGATGGGAGACCATTTCCCTCAGTTCCTGAAATTGAGAGGTCTTTGTTTAGAATAAAAATGTCTTCTCAACAAAACCAAGATTTTGGACCTAATGGTGGTGAATATATCAAGATGTAATTCTGAGTTTATTGTTATTGAGAAAAGAAAAATAATTGAGGCTAGATTATTATGCATCTGTCATAATTGTAGAGATTATGCAAAAATGTGTATGATGTCATGACTGGTTGATGTAAAAAGGTCTACAATATGATTACAAATTTGTAAGAAAAGTAAACTAATACTAGAGAAAAAGATGATGATTGTTTTTGGAAAACATGGTAATTTTCTACTCTTCTATATTTTCAAATTTTTATAATGAATTATCAGTTTTTATTTGAATTGCTACCATTGTTTCTAGTAAATTGACTTCCCAATACTGAGAGAATTGGATGAATAAATAGTCTGTTTCTTCTTAGTCACTGTAAACTTATGAAGCCATTATGTTTCTGGATATGATATCTATTTAAATAAAATGAGCCTGTTGTATTAAATAATTACTAGTGTTTCTTTTTGATAATTTTATGGTCTTACTGTAAAGAAAATAAATATTTGAACACTCAGTGTTTAAAGAAAAGAAGAAGAAGAAAAAAAAAAAAACTATAGCTGGGTACAGTGGTGTACGACAGGCTGAGCAAGAGAATTGCTAGTTTGAGGCCAGCCTCAGCAAGTTAGTAAGGTCCTAAGCAACTTACTTAGCCTTGTCTCAAAATAAAAAATAAAAGACTGGGAATGTAGCTCAGTGATCAAGTTTGTTAGCAAACTTCCTCTAAGTTCTATCCCCAGTACAAAAAAACAAAAACAACAACAACAACAAAAAAAAAAAACTCAAAAACACAAACATTAAACTTAATGTATGATTTTATCTGAGAGAATGGGAAAACACTCAAAAAATAATTCAGCTTTATGTATCAGATATAAGGAAAATGTTCATGTGTCTCTCTTGAATCATGGTAACATTTCAAATCACAGAATGCAAAGTTTTGGTGGGCTCTTAGATGATTTATTACCATACTGTACATGCAAATTGCTTACACATTTCCCAGTAGCAAGGTATAGGCTTTTGGCATGTTCTGACAATCTGAATAAACTTACACAAAGTAACATTGGCCCTCACTTAAGTCAGTTTCTAAAATTAATCTAACATCCACTTTTGCTGCCATCACACATTCTTTCTTCAAGTTTCTGGAAAACACTCCAACTCCCTTGCCAAATGAGCATATTTAATCATTGAACTGGATTTTCCAACCTGAATCCAAGAAGATAGTGAGCTCTTGTGTTGTATACCCCAGTCTTTGGGCAAAGGAGAAAGAGCCAATGACTGTTGTGTCCCATCTATACAAAGTAGGAGCTCTGTGGTCAACTACCACCATTGAAGAATATGGTAGCTCAACCAAAAGCAAATGGGCATGATTTTGATGAATTCTCTACAAACATTTTCTTTATTTACAGTTATGGCCAGGCTAGACTTAATATATGTACCTAAAAACATTGTAATATATCTTTGTATTAAGGAGTCAATAGCACCATTTGACAAGTTTTAAAAATGAAATGTTCACAGCTCCTTTTTTCAGTGCTTTTAAAATAGAAATTGGGAAGGTAGCCCATAATCTTAGCTGTGCACACTAAAACATTTCATACTTTGTCCTCCAAATCCTACAGGCTTTTGCTGTTGGCTAATGCTTTGCAAGCTAAACTAGTGAAGTTGTTTCCTGTATTCACTATTTCATTAACTTAAGCCTCCATGTGCTATGGGGTAGCTTATGGCCCTTTAGCCCAGAAAGCTTTTGACAACCCAGCAGTACAAACTTCACATCTAGGAAAGTTCAGAAAAGACACTCCAGATAATGTCACATAAGGCTGAAAACTCCTTTTAGGACATTTTTTCTTAGTACCTGCTAACTTAGGTTTTCTATATGTTAACTTCTTAGTTTCTTTTTCCTTATTCAGATAATAGTTCATCTTTGACCCTATATAGTCATTCACTAATCACACATTATCAGAGATAAGCAAAGTTGCAAGACAACCAAAAGTATTTATACTGTGATCTGATTCTAATTGTATATGTTTTTTAAAAACAAGTTTCTTGAAGATGAATGTAAAAATACTGCCTGCAGTAAGTAATATAAAAAGGAACCTGTGGAAGGTGGGGGTTGAACTGTCCAGATCAGATAACTTAAAGGGCTAGAATAATGATAACAACCTTGATGTAACCTTGATGTGGGCCTTTGTTAGCAAACTTCAGTAGGTGATTTTCTGGAGTAGCAAGAGTTTTTAGAACTCCAGTTCTGCAAAACTTAGGCAGATAATTGCTTTAATAGTTTCCTCTGCTTTATCAATGGAGACCTGGCCAATGCAGTTTATGCTTTCAGTGACTGAGTCTTTGCTTTAATCAATGACTTGTAAAAATGTCTTTGATATTTTGGATGATTTTCATTCTGCTGAGGGGCATACCAGATGAGCCAAGCATATATGGCAGATGTTCTGAAGAAAGGCTATACTTGTTTCTGACAAAAAACAAGAAAGGAGCAGGGAATCTAATTCAACTTTGCACCAAATCTGAGGCTTTACTGCAGATTTAGCAACACTGCCCTCTGGATTTTAGTCTTTCCTACATAGTGTTATTTCTTCACCACTTTGTCTTGCCTTTCCCCTCTCTGCCTATGCTCTCAGGTCGATCTTCAGTCAGACATGCCCCCTTTTCTCCTGTCTGCAAAGATTCTTCTAGTCCTTCAAATCAGCCCATGTGCCCATGAAGCTTTCCTTGATCATTTGTAGCAAAAGAGAGCTTTTCCCTGTTTCCTAGAAGGCTACAACCTGTCCAGATTTAGCACAGGCTTGCCTTTTCTTTCCAACTGAAAGCTCACTTCTGGAGGGTGGCACTGGGTTTAATTCATTTTTTTCTTCTCCACTGCATATAATAGTTTCTCAGTGAAAGTTTACTGGGGAAATGGGTACCTAGGATAGACTATTTCTGAAAATCTTCAACATTAGCCAATCATGTCCTTAAAACATGCTTCCATGTTGGCCTACTGTTCCCCTAAAATGTGCTGTTTGGTTTTGAGGACAAAAACCAGCTCTTTGATCTACTCATTTGCAAGATATTTAACTCCATCAACAACAATCTTCAAACTCTGAGCAATTCAGAAAGTAGGAAGGTAAAAATGTAGAGTTCTTTATTTACATTTTGTCATCTTCATCCTCTTCCATTCCAGTCCCATTCTAAATTGGAATAGCCAAATAGCCAAACAAATATTTCTCTTTCCTATACATACATCAACCATGGCCAACTGGTGGACGATTCATATCTTTTGTTCCTGTGTTCTATACTATTGATTCCTGCAGTCGCTTAAATAAAAGAGTGTATTATTTAGAATCATAATATTTATAATTTTAGGTATTCTTAATAATAGGCTGATAATGAGTTTTTTACTTCAATATGTAACTTAAATATCCTTTAGACTACAGATGTTGAAAGCCAAACTGAAACACAAGAGTCACGAATGCCTAAATGTCTCTCAATATCTAGGTTACCTGCTTCCCTTAAGGCAGATATTTTGGAATGAATAATTTCTCTGTGACAGAAATAGATGAAGAAAAGGGCCCTTCTTGAATTTCTAAATATGTAAGAAAAGTAAAGGAAGCATTTACTCAAGACCTTCTCTTCAAAGAAATGAAATATAGAACACTCAGAAAAGCATGGGGATTTAAATGTTGCTTTCTTACATAAAAGATTTGGTCATTTGCCTATTCCCTTGTCTGTTGATGAACAATTCTTTATCAGAGAAAATCACATAATAGAGCATATTTTCTAAAATTATTAATGGAGGTTCAATTGATATAAATTGTTTTAAAATACTCTAAGAGATTCAGAATCAAAGAACTCTCATTTCTTAGCTCATTAAGTAACAGCTTCAGATTGGCTTAAATGTGCAAATGCTAGCATAAGGTACAGATGATTATGTATTAAGGTATTTATACGATTTTTTAAATATAAGGATCAAGTTTCTAAAGCATGCTCAAAGTACCAGAAATCTTAACTTCCACTCTCAGCGAACTCCATTCATTTAAATTTCTTTTTTGGGGAATGATGAAATTTTGAATTTTCAATTTGGTAGAGAAATTTTACTGTCTTGTGTCCAGCAGTTGTTGTGAGACTGTCTACAACATCAAACAAAACTCACCTAAGTTCTGATGAAGCAAATGAGAATCAGAACCTTAATCTCAGGGGGATGGGGAACTACAGTACAGAAAACTGCACTAGAGGCCATCAAAAAACATGGGGTGCTGCTGTGAAAAACCAGGGCCATCGAATTTTTTTTTTAAATTTTTTTCCTGTAAAGGACCAAATAGCCAAACAAACATTTTAGGCTTTGTGGGTTGTACGGTCATTTTTAAAAATACTCAACTTTCCCCTGGTTGTATGAAAATAGCCACAAACAATAGTTTGGATATGTTCCAATGAAAACAGCCTTTGAAAGATTTGCTCTGTAAACCACAGTGACTCCTGAAAACTCTTCTTTGGAGATTTCAATTTAATTCCTGGAAAAATTATGTGGAAATTGATTCTGTAAAATGTATGTAAGTTTTTATATGTATATCTCAAATATGTAAGTCGTATTTCCATTAATAAAAGAGCTAAAAGAATGATTGGCATTCAGACAACAGAATATAAACACCAGCCCCTGACTCTTATTAACAATCCCTTTTGCTTATATTCTTAGTTCCTGATCATAAGGAATTACTTAAATCAGAAGCCAGCTGTTCCCACTAACTGAATACATAAGTCATTTTAAAAAATTGAGGGAAAAAGCAACATCTGTTGGACATAGAATGAAAAACTATTAAGTCATTTTGACCTAACTATTAATGAATGGACATAATAGAACATTTTTTTTGGCTTACAGATAATTATGAAAATAATACTGAGACTAATGGTGCCATGAAAAGAAAAAAATAATAAATATGCTATTTATAGTTGATGCCATGGTATATGAACTGTATTGTGGGTGTGTAAAATAGATTAGGATAAATGGAGGCCATTATGAGATGATAGTTTTCAAGTATGACTATACTTATATTTTGCAAAACAGATGAACTATTATCCATGTATCAAGAAAAAAAGAAAGGGCAAACCTAGTAAATTTTTATCATTTGAAACTGATTGTTAGAATTAGGGGAGAGCTTAAGAAAAACAATAGCTTTCAAAAAAAGTCTAAGGTAAAGTCCAGGGTATTTGAGTAGCTTGTAATAATCTTTAGAATGGAAAGTAAGGATTATTCAGTCTGACCAAAGATTAAATATCTGTCATTATTAACACAATGAATCATAGCAAAGATCAGATGGGACACAAATATTCCATATCTATGGATTTTCCAGGTCAATCTTAAAATGCACTGAAAACAACTATTTAGAAGGACAAGGTGATTTTTAAGTCTTAATCTTGTTGAGAGTTTCAAACTAAATTCTGGGTTAATAAGGATCTTTGTTTTTCGAGCTAGTCTGGATGTTCCCGCCAGGGCTTTAGAGGATCTCACAACGCTATACAATGGGTGGCCACAGGGATGAAGTAAAACATTGATTTGGGATTAATGGTAGCAAACCAAGACAAGGAAAGAGTCAACAACTGGTGGAATCTTGCACCATTATTGATCAATGGAAATATACTAATATTGAAACAAACCACTTTCAAGGTTTCAGTCAGAATGTGGGAATTGGCTTTCTCTCACTTGGCTAATTTCAGCTCAACCAGGTGGCTGCTTTGATTGTATTGTATTTCTCTGGAGTAGCATCTGATTCTTGCAAGCTTCTTAGGTAGTCTGATTTTCTGGCAAGGCTTCTATCTTGCTCTAAGGGTACCTCTGGGCCAGATGATAGGGAACAGAATCAGGAAGAAAGCTAAAATTGTGCAATCAGATCAACTAGAATATCACAGAGCATTTATGAAAATCTTTTTTAACCAGATATAAATTAATCATATTTGTTTTTGCTCCCAAAGTTAAGTATGAAAATGATTGGAGTGACATATGAGCTCATATGATATTCACAAAAATATAATAACAACAAAATCTTGCCCTTAAAAATTTTAAAGTGCAGGAAGAGGATATGTTGAACTTGGTTATTATTGGGTTGTCCCTCCTCTCTTTTCTGTTTGTCAAGGTACTGGAAACTCACCCTGAATGTTTCAAGGGAATAAAAGGACTTAGAAATTTGTATAGAAAATTATTGGGTACATTTCTATTTATCAAATTGTTATGAATATTATAATACCAATGTTGAAATTACATGTCTATGTTTTTTTTTCAAAAACATTGCATATACACACAGAGTCTAAACATTAAGCAGTGTTCAACCAATAAATGCTCAAATTTAGCAATGACCCTGAACAGGAGCATTTCACTGCTGATCATTAAGGAAATTGGAATATGACTTAATAGGCAGTAATTACAAGGATATTACAAGTCCTGTTACATAAGTAAATGCCTACAGACTTTGCATCCTCCCTAGTAGACCTAGATAACCAGACAGTATACTCTGCAGTGACAAATAAATTACATAATGGCATTGTAATTATGCAATTGGTCTCCATTCTGTATATTTTGTCAATTATATATCAGGTCCACCTTCATCAAGAAAATCCTACTGTTAACTCACTTTGTTGACCTCTTTTTAAATTTTTTTTTTTAAATTGACTTTGCAAGAACAACCCTAAAACAGAATAAATGGTTTACTAATTTTATCCTTTGCCTTTTCTGGCATTTACTTTTCTTTTTCCAATTTGAAATGCAACCAGCTGCTTCTGTGCAATAAAAACTAGATTATGAAACAAAACAGCCCTCTTTAAATTTTCAGCCTGTAGGCAACCCATGATCAGTCGCCTTGTATGTGAAACTGGAAATAGGCATTGCTAAACATTCTAAATTACAAAATATGTTTAAAATACTATGTAATTGAGGTCACAGTAAAAGGCAAACTTCATGTCTTTTAAAGTCTGCCACTAAAAATGACTATAGAAACTTGATGATTATTCTAAAATCAGTATTTAAAAAATTTCTGAGTCTATTTTTAAAATCCATGTGTAATGGCAGTGTTGATTAAACCCTTCTAACGACGTGTAAAAAATGAGAGCCAATAGTCATTTCAGGGTAACTGATGTGATATCACCATTCTCATACAGTCTTCATCATGCTAATTTATAAGTTTCAGTAGATTTCTAGAAAGATATATTGCCTGTGACACAAGAATGGTATACTGGTTCAGAATTGCAAATTGGATTCTGTGTGTAGTCCTTTCTCAATGGGGACACATAGTGGACCCACAGCAGACACTGGTAAGCAGGAATACTGTTGGCTTTCTGGCAGTACTCAAGAGGCTCTAGTCTGTAGTTAGCATTACAGGGCCCAGAGAAAAATCAAGAGGAACTGTGGCAAAGAGATTACTCGGCAATGCTCAGGAAAGTGCTGTTCTTTGAAGTTGTGCTAGGAAACATTTCATCAAGCCATATGAATGGGTGGGAATAGCCAATAGCTTTTTGCTTGTTGCAGTCTACAATATTTCTGAAATATTTTCTCCTTGGCCTCTCTTCAATTTATGAATGTGGGAAACTGAGGCAGCTCAGACATAAGCATAAAAGTTCAAGTGTCCCTTTGCTTAAAATAAAAAAAGTACTCTAGACCAGTGCCATAGGCAATAGCCATGAGCTACATGTGGGTTTTGACTGCTTGATATACTAAAGATATGATATATACTCCTGATTTCAAAAACTTAGTATAAAAATAAGAAATCCAAAATGTTTCATTATTTTTTGATTATATATTGATGTAGCAAATTTGATATATTAGGTTAAAAGATACTATAATTTCATCTTTTAATTTTTTTAAATGTAACTAATAGGAAATTTAAAATTACATATGTGACTTGTATTACAAGACAGCTCTTGTTCTATATAGTAAATGCTACAACCATCTTATTCTAATTTCTAGTCCATGTGTCCCTGGGACAAATGTTTCCTTAATATTTTGAAAGAAATTACTGGGTTTTTTAAATGGGTTTTTTAGATTTTTTAAATGGGGGATGTAGTTCAGTATTGACTCTTATGGTAAAATAATGTAGTTTACACTATGCATCTGAACTTCTCAAAATAGAAACCAATAATGCAATGTGATAATTGTCAGTTCTAAAATGCAAAATATTGTTATTAGTTTTGCTATCTTGCTTTGAGACTACATTGTCAGAAGTAACCTTATGAATTTTTTCCAAATTAAGTCTCTATTTGCCTACTGTTATTTAGCTAAATCATCCTTGCAATAGACAATGTATCCCATTTCAACAAGCAATGTTCTTTCAAAAGTGATAACATGATGATGCTAGCTTAGATTTTATTTCTATGAAATCTGAATTACTTTACTGAAATGAACATTTCTGTGAAAGATTGACTTGTTTCCCACTGAAACGACTTCATTAGTCACTATATGGGCATTATCAGGACTTAACATATGGAGTAAAAATCTAAAATCTCCATCGAAATTTTAGAAGATGCAGTTTACAGATTTAAAAAGAGGGAATTACCTTCATGTTCTTGAGTACTCACCAAGGAAGGTCATGTACAATCATTTAAATGGTTAAAAATGGTTAAATTCACTCTGAAACTGTGTGGCTGTGGCAATGGTAATGCTGTTTCTATAATCCACAGGGACAACTGATCCAGTCAGCCCCAGTGTTGGAATGATATAACCTGCCCTTGGAATGCCAGATGGGAGGGATGATATGGTCTGATCTTCCAACTAATTGCTGTTCTCTAATAGAACCCCATTTCCCTCTCCTATTTCCTCTTTTGACAAATGGAATACTACACACACACACACACACACACACACACACACACACACATACACACACACTCACGGGGGGGAAAAGTTTACCAGGAAATTACTCTTCTTAAATGGGAATCTTAATGCTTAATGAAGAAGACATTCTTGCAAGTTAAAAAGTGAGCCCTTTATAATAGCCAAAATTTTAATTCTAAGAGGGAATAAAAGAGGGAAGAAGAGGACAAGTACTATTAATAAAAATAAAACAAAAAAATGATCATCTGAACTCAGATTATGTGCTTCTTCAGAGTCTTTTCCTCTATGGCTGTGACCTATCAGATCCCTAAACTATGGAATACCAGAAGCCCTACCTTATTTCTTTTCTCTGAGAATAGGAGATTTGTGCTTGGAATGCAAAATGTACACTGAGGTCCAATAACCTCCAGTAGCCACAGAGACTTTGTTTTCCAATGTAATGGTTTTGAGGAGGAGCCAAAAGAAATTAAGATCTCTATTTTATGAGAATTTTTATATGCTGGTCATTTTTATTGTTTTCATTTTGGACTTTGAAAATTATTCTTTTTAAAATTATTAAAACCCACCACAAATGTATTACATTATGCAAGATTTTGGTAAAATATTAATTTCAACTCAAAGTAGAAATAAATTCGAGGTACTTGGACTCAGTGTAATTTCTTTAAGGGAAAAATGGTTCTGCTATTAAAGCCAGAGAAAAATACACTGGAGATACAAATTATAATAAAATATTAGATTCTAGCTTCTCAAGAGTATGATCTGAAATCATTGTTTTCTTCATTTTTATTCACTTTTTAAGGCAAATAAAAATTTGTGCACTAAATTTCTTGACATGAAAAACTTTTTCGCTACATTCCAAAATGTGAGCACTTTCATTCCAAGTGTGAGAAAAAGATATACTATATTTCATAAGTATCCTTAAGCTTATAAAGAATTTATCTAGACATTGTCAATTGGAGGGGAAAGTTTTTATACACAATAATTGTCTTTTTCTAGTAAAGTCAATAATGAATGATCTACTCTATTCAGACATTTTGGCACCAATTTGTGGAATAGTTTTTTTCTAACTATTTGAAACTTTGTAATTATAGATTTATCCATAAAAATGTTCCTATCTATAGGTTTTATAAATTCATGAATTAATTTTATTTGCAAAATGAAAAGGAATTAATTCTGTTACCCCTTTCCTTCCCTGATTTTCTTTATTCTTTATTCTTCCTTAATTTTCTTAATTCTTCCTTAATTTTGTCTACCTGAAGAGCATCTTATTGGACAGTAGGTGAAGGGAAGAATGAAATTCATCATGTGTGTTTAAAATACTTTCTCCAGGATTGTTAAAATGTCAGAAGTAATGGCAGAATTAATTATTAATAACATTTTGACTTTTTTGATATGGTGTATATAAGTAAGAGGACATTCTCCACATAAACTTTAGGGGCATATGAATTCATGGCCCTTATAAGTATGCTTCAATTTCTTACCATTGTAAATGGAAATTTTTTGCACTTTCTGTATGACTATCACTTATATATCCATTTCCTTGTAAACAGTTTTGAACACATTAATGCTGAAAAATATTGGGTAGGCCATGGAAATATATTTTATAGCATCTCCTAGTATTATCTGAGAAGCAGTTCAAAGGAATTACTGCCTTGTGAAGAAACCTAAAGGATGTAGGATGGCTAGGTTTTCAAAGGAAAATTAATTTGAACGATTTTACTTAAAATGTCTGCCACTGGTTGCTGAAAATGGGTGTTTTTAAGGGTCGTGTTTACTTGCAATTTCAAATTTAACTCATCGGTACTAGGTATCCATTACATGCCATAGAAAACACTATTATTTTCATAAAGCAGTCACATGCATTGAAGTTAGGATTACCAACTTGTATATATGTATTTTTTTTTTTGCACCTCAAAAACAGAATCACTATTAGTGCATATCATGCTTCCACACCCTTCCTTGCTGAAGGACAAAGCACATAAAATGCCAGAGTTTGACTTCCGGATCTAAAGGAAGTCAACTTAGTACTCTGGCAAGATCACATCTTGTTGTGGAACTCCAAGTCCCACGGCAGGGTTTTCCTGCCCTTCTCTGGGGTCTGCTGCTTCCTCCACAGTCTTCAGTTTCTCTTCCACTGGGCTCTCCTCCATTTCTGGGTCAGCAATCTTTATCTCGTCCTCCAGAGCATCGGGCTCCATCATGGGGACTTCCTCAGCATTTATATCTTCATCTTTCACCTCCTCTAAGGACTGCACCTTCATCAGCTCAGCCTCTTCACCCTCCACGGCCACTTGGGGCCCATCTCCTTGGGTGTTCTCTACTTCTGGCATCGCTTTGATGTTCTCGCTGCTGCTTTGGATTGGAGAAGGTTCTTGGCTAGTTTTCTGGCTCTCCTGGATGTTGCCATGGCTGCTGCTGGCACTTCCCAAGCGTGAAGAAGCCACCACAGCCTTCACGGCTGCCTGGTTGGAGACAAAAAGGCATCAGATGTGTCACCTCCACTTAAAATCCCAAATCAGAGCTAAATCCCTACTTTGTTTTTAGGGAGTATATTTTATAAGTTGGTGTTCAGTCTTTCAAAGTATGTTCTTCTAACACCGTTGGATGAAAACTTGTTTGGAGAATGAACAAAAAAAATCTCTCTAATCTCAAATTAGAGTATTTCATAATCTGGATAACTGATGACTCATATAAAATTTTAGATTGTTTCCCAAAGTATTTGTTTCCTGGAACACTAGGATCCATGTTACATCAACACTCATCCAGGGTATTTCAAATTAATTTGGCCATGGAGCCCTTCAGTTTATTTAATCTATATGAGCCAGTAAAAAAAGGTTGAAGAGAACCCTAAGTTTGGAGATCCCCTTCTATAACTAGTTCTAAATACCATTATGTCATAGAAAAGTATACAGTCTTTGTTTTATAAGTGTTCTATAGGAAATGGACACATTTTGATGAATAATTTCTAATTTCAATCATGTTAATGTTTATCAAGTTTAGTTATTTATATTATGAAGTCTAGTTTCAAAAACTGTTTTCCAGTTTTCACATATTCAGGAAGGAAACAACTTTCCTGAATAAACATCAGTTTCTTGAAAAATGCTGTTCCAATTGTTTAGCCTTAATTAGATGAGAAGCAGTAATAGTGTATTTGGTGACCAAATTTCAGTATAAAAAAAACCTTTCCCCTACTATTAATGATGAATTTATGAGAAGAAACTGGAAGTAGCTTAATGTCAGCACTGTTGGGATTTCTAAGCAGGATTTTTCCCCCCTGGTGCCACTGAAAATGGTTACTTAGTCCTAGAAAGAGAAGATAATCTTTTTAAATAATGTTATTGTATTTTTATACATTTATTATTTATCTATTTATCATATGTTGCTGAGGATCAAACCCAGTGCCTCACATGTGCTTAGGCAACCACAGCCCCAATATTTGTTTTTTAAACAAAAGAAAAAATGTCATTTTACCTTAAGTTTGCGTCGAGCATTGAACTCCTGGAGCTTCTTTTGAGCAGTATCCATGTGTACAAAATTGGCTGCTTTACCTGTTACCCACGGGTGCTGGAGAGCTTGAAAGGTAGTCAGCCGTTTTTTAGGATCCAAAACAATTAATTTTCTGACCTGAAATGATAAAGAAACAGATTTAAGGAAACTTTTTTGGTGGCTTGAACATGCCCCTAGCTTGTGAACTTCTAGGTCTTGTTCTATTTTCTGAGCAGTAGCACTAATTATACATTTTTTTTAAAAGGGTATAAGCCCTCAGGGGACACAGTGGGCAGGAACTACTGCAGGTAGCAGTAGATGATATTCCGACCCTACTGAAACCTGTCCCCCAAGAGGCAGACTGCTTTTGAGCAAAGGTCAGAGAAACAGGTCCTGCTTGCCTCTGATTCTTTGAAGGTAAAACCAGCATCTGAATCATTCTAAGCTGTACTTCAGAATCACCTAGAATTCAGAACTTAAAATACATCTCCATGGCAACAGAATCATTCATGCATCATCATTCTTTCCATGGAGATTAAATGGCAAACAAAAGGGGCAATAGTCCAACTATTTTATGATATTCCTGGGATGTGTAGTTCTTTTTCTTTAATCTCGGGAGGGTGCTCCAGCCCAGAGCTAGAGTAAAAGTCATTTTAGAATCAAAAAAGTCACTGGCTTTGGGGTATGATTTGCTTAAAGGGTTAAACTCAACCAAAGGCAACCTGTTCTGAAAGGTCCATTTCTGCTTCTCAGAATGGCAGGCAATAAATGGCCAAGAAGATCAACAAATAAAATAGTTCCAAGCCTTGGACTCAGAAGGAGTGATCTGATATGAGAGATAGTCTATTTGAAGTCAAAAGATGTGTGAAAGTTCTGATTATGTCTCTACTTTTGAGACCTAGACATAGACACGAAGTAGGTTTCTACAGACACTTCCCTAGGTCCTTTTCTTACATGATTGGATCTGATTAACACCTTAATTCCCTTGTTTATGCATTATTATATGCATATAATTAAAAAAACTAATAATCTTTAGAATTAAGGTTACTTAGAACTACTGGCTCCAGTTCTCAAGAGAGGGATTAACAAACTCAGATTTAGTACTTGCCTAAGGTTAGACATTTCTAGTTAGTAGAGCTTGTATTTAAACTGAGATCTGTATTATGTCAGCATTCATCTCAAGTGCATCATAATGTCTCCAAGGGAGTCAATCTCTCTGGACTTTGGCCTGGTAAGAAATGAGGGGCTTTGGCTGAAGAAGGGAACCCAGGCCAATAAAATCAAGCAGCAAGTGAAATAAGGAATAAATAATATCTGGTTTGCCTTTCAGTCTTTTCTGTAACATTTATAAAGGACTGCATATTTGGGTTGGGGACACTGGATTTGTCCAGAGACTTCCACATCCTGTGTGGAGTGTATTTAAGAAGGGCACAGGAAGAGGCAGGGAGACCAGAGAGGAGGTTGTGGTCCAGGTCCTTCAGGATGGTGTCTTGGATTGGGATAGTGGTAGCAGAGGTGGATAAAGAGACGTCTGGAGTGTGGTGCAAAATCCTCACATGCCACACACAGCGCTCCTCTTCTCCATCTGCAGGAAAATCCATGGGCCCTAAGTGATCTATTCCATGAAATGAGAAGTAAAAAGAAGAAATGTTGATGGAGGAAAAGTCCTGGAACAGGGGTCTGGAAACTGTAGTCAGTTTTAATAGTGTTCTCCTACTAGCAAGATGTATGATCTTTGGCTGTGCCTTCAATTTTCTTTTTCTTTTGTGTGCTAGGAATTGAACCCAGGGCCTTGTGAATGTGAGGCAAGCCCTCTACCAACTGAGTATATCCCCAGCCCCTGTCCCTTCAATTTTCTGGTCTTTAGCACACTTATCTTTAAAATGAGGGAAAGATCAGATGACTCCCAAGATCCCTCTCAACCCTCTATGATTCAAAAGTCAGCTTTTGGTTATTCCTGTGTGGGTTTTCCCCTAGATCACTGATGATAAATGTTTTAACCACACATTCGTATCATCTTTTTAGAAGAGGAGGACCCCTCCGAAGAGAGTGTTTCCTGAATGCAAATGAGCTTCTATATTAGCTTATGTGAGAAGCAGTGTAAAAGAAATAAAATACACTATTACTACTTCATGACTCTATGTCAAGGATCCATAAAGGAAGAACTTGTATTACCTTCCAGGATATTTTAATAAGTTTGGATGAAATTTCAGGAAGTGACATTATTTTATATGAAATCTATCTAATTCTAGGTAATAATAAGCCATGTTAAAACAGAATTTTGTGTAAACTAGGTTTGCATTTACCTAGCACAGTTTTTGTCATAAGCAAGTCTCTTCATTTGTCAGGTGGTAGAAACTCATTAATACAATAACAATTGTAGTTTGTGATAATTTAGCTAATGAGGAGTCAAAACATAGCTACCTTTCATTATCTATAAGAAAAATGCATTAATGCTTCTACTCTCAAGAGTCAGGTAGAGGTTTTGAAGTCAGAGGGGACAAAAAAGGGACTACAAAAGTAATCTGCATCAGGGTGTATGATATATATGTTGCCTTTGAAAAGACTAGGGGAATTAACTAACCACTAATTATTAATCAGAGCATAATCTTTAAAATGTCCATTAATTCGTTAAATATGAATTTATTCCATTGTGTTTCATTTTGTTTTGATCACACTTACCAAGTCCTTGGCATTTAGAGATACTTCATCCCACCAGGGGGAGATAAAGTAATATTCGCAATTCAGAATTCTCCTGAACATGAACTGATCGCCTCTTTCATCATAGAATGGTTCAAATCCACAAAGTCTAGAGGGGGGGAAAATACAGGAAATAAAGTATCTTTAAAAGACTATATTTCATCAAATTTCTACAGAAATTCAAGCCCTCCTTTTTTCAATAGAAATAATACATAAAAGTAAGTCTACTCAGCACAAGTATATAATTGCCTTGTTACAATTCATGATCAATAATGTGAAAACACAGTCACAACTCAAGGAAGTAAGAATAGTGAGTATGATTTATGAAAAAATATAATTATTATGATGACACAAAAAGAACAATAACAACAGCATACATTATTATAAGCACTATGGTAAAGATTTTCCATCAATTTTTTCTTCATGAGAATTAAGACAGGTTGATTAGAGTTCCCATTTAGTATAAAATGGAAGAGTTAGAATTTTGAGAGTAAAGAGGTTAAAAAATGGAAATAAGAGTTTTATTTATTTTTATTCATCTCTATTCACTGAATTTCTCCATAGAAATATAGGATCAGGCATGGTGGCTTGTGCTGGTAATTACACTGACTTAGGAGCCTGAGGCAGAAGGATCACAAGTTCAAGGTCAGCTTTAGCAACTTAGATCCTGTTTCAAAAGAGAGAGAGAGAGAGAGAGAGAGAGAGAGAGAGAGAGAGAGAGAGAGAAAGGGGCTGGGGATGTAGGTCAATGGTAGAGGACCCTTCCTGGGTTCAACCCCAGTGCTGGAAAAAAAGACTTAAAATTCAGTGACCAGATGCCAACAACAAACAGCCTAAATTTGCCTCATCCTTGTAAGTGAGCCTCTTTCTTTCATACATTTTAAAGATATTCCACCTATATTCATCTTCACTTTCCCACAGGATCAGCATGAAAATGAATAAGAAAAGTGGGACAAAAAGGAACAGAAGAACATTTCTGGCATCCTAAAGAGAGGGTGAGAGGAAAAGCAAGTTGCCAATTCTCCACTTCCTAGAGACAGGTGGGGGTTCTGAAATCACTGGGACAAGAGGGGAACTGTCAAAATGAGCCCATGTGTTGCATATGTTGCTTTTGAAAAGATTGGGGATAAAATAATGATTAAAAGACGTCTTCTCAAATTATTCCTTTCATGCTGGCTAGGTTGGTGCAGAGGATGAAAAATTTAAGTGTATCCTAAAATGATGGGTTTCTATGAAGAAGTATTTTCTTGTGTTCTTTTACTTATGGAATATTTCTTTGGGAGAGTCTTTGTTTCCTCCAAATATCCTAGAGTCAGCCACATTCTCCTCCCCCATGCGGCTTCAGGCTGCTCCTGACCTACCTATGGAAGGAAAGCATAAAGACAGAGGGATGCTTGTCCATCCCTGGAGAAGAGGAAAGTCATCCTTGTCTGGCCCTCCCATCCCTCCACAACACTAGGAAAGTGTTGCTAATCGTGAAGAAATTAGCCAGCTTTCCACACTCAGTTAAGGAAGCTCCTTGCATTTCCCCTTCTGAAACTCTGAGAACAAAAGTGATAAGCTAGAGTGCTTGAGTACTTTTTTTCCATCTCAATTATGTCAACATTAGCAAACACACACACAGTGCACAAACCTTTCAGAACTGGTAATACTTTAATTCCAACAGTGACAGTTGAAGGAGATGCTGGGAGGATATAAGCTTGTAGTGTTTATACAGGGAAGCCCCAGGCCTTTGGGAAGAACCGTAGTGTTAAAACTGAAGGAGAGGGTTTGAACTTCAGATGCTATGTGATTCTGGTATGATTGCTGCAGTAGTCAAAGGCCCAGTCCTGCACTCTAAAGAAAGACCAGAATTCTTGGGAGAAACAAAAGAATGGCCTTTGTTTCTAACTTAACCTCATCTTTAGAAATGGGTCATGGCACAAAAATGGCCTGGTGGGGACAAGCTTTTAAGGAGAGAGTAAAGTGTTAAAAGTAGAAGTCATAGATGAGGGGCAAGGGGAACAGAGGTATTTATATCTATAGTAAGAATGACACTTCTATTCAAAGATAAGCACCAGAATTTATGTACACACAGACAAGTAGATGTAGAACAGATACTTCAACATTTGGGAGATGAAGAAAGGATTTAACTGATGCTCATAATGTAGCTCTGTCATAACATTTACTTTCCCAGGAAGCATCGGCAAAAAGTCATCAGCTCGAATTCTTCCTTTGGTAATTTCTGTACTTTGCTCCCCTTTGATTCTAGGTCACTTGGTGCAATGAGACAGGTGTCTAGAGGGCACAGTTTCAGGCCATCAATAGGCCACTGAGTTTAGGAGAAAATGTGCCCATGAACCTTGCCAGGTGGATTTCATCAATTATTAATGAACTACAGATTAAGCAAGAGGTCCCCAGGTTTACAGGATGACAGAAATTAGTGTGAAACTTTAACTCCATATTAGTTCAAAGCAGCATCTCTGTGTTCATTTTTGGAGCCACTACTTTCACTTTCAATAAAAATTCTTATTAATTAATGACCTACAGAGAATAAATATAAAGACTAGTTTGTATAATTTGGCAATGGACTAAGGAAAAGGAGTTGGGGTCAGGAAAATATTATCTTCCAGGTCATCATAAAATGTTTCTCCAATGATTGCATTTTCTCTTTTACGTTCCTATGTCAGTGACCCATTCCATGGAATTTTCTTCAATCCATGCTTCCATCTTTCAGGGTGCATGTAACTTAATTTCCTCCTTCCATCTCTCAAAGTTCTCTTATACTATAAATGCTTCAAATCTTCCTAGTACATTTTGACACGGATTGTCATAAGGTACATTTACACTTCATTCACACTCTAAGTGTGAAACCAAACCTGAATCCTTATATGTATGGTTTGGTTTTACACTTAATATGAAATACAAATGTGTATATGAAGTATGATATATTTCCTGCATAATTCAGGGATGATATTCTTTCTCTAGTATGAAAGAAATCTCAAAGTAGAGTCAGGTGATTATTTTAATGAGCTAAGCATTTCTTGTGGCAAAAGAAAAAAAAATATGGCTCACTACCTCTTAAATCAAGCTTTAACACATTTCTAGAAACACAGGAAATTAAATACTGAAAATATCTTTTGCGATTATGTATTAGCAGATTGCTATTTTATGGATTGATTTTTAAACCTTTTTATCTGGGCTATCAACCAATGTACCCACCTGGGTGAATGTAGAGTCTGCTAACTTGCCTGGAAGTTCTGTTTCAATTATGACATTCTGTTCCAATTATTCCTAGCTCACATGACCTACACACTGCACTTTCTAAGATCACTATTAAAAACAAAACAACAACAAATTTCTGCTATGGACTGACATGTTCTCCCCCACTCCAAATTTACAAGTTGATGCTGTAACCTCTAATATGATGGTATTTGGGGACGAGGCCTTTGGTAATTGGGTTTAGGGAAGTCATGAAGGTCATGATGAGGTTAGTGCCCTTATGAGAAAAGACCACAGAGTTTGTGCACTTCTCTCCCACCCCTGCTGTGTGAGGACATGCTGACAAGGGAGTTTTCTGCAAACCAGGAAGAGATCCTCCTCACCAGAACTCAGCCAGGCTGCACCCTGATTTTAGACTTCAAGCCCCGAGATGTGAGAAAATAAATGTCTGTTATTGAAGTCACCCACTCTGTGTTTTATTATGGCTAATAAATTTGGGGCTGGGGTCATAATTCAGTGGTAGAATTCTTGAGGTCCATGATTGGATCCCCAGCCTAAAAGGAGAGGGAAGACAAATATACTTTCAAACCCTCAAAAATCTCTTTCCAGATTTGACCAATATGGGTTCCAAAAATTAATTATGCATTACCATCTAAATGGTACTTATTGACATCTTGCTTTTCAGTTTTTCTAAGGAAATCTTGTTTTCCAGCCAAACCTCTGTCTGGTTTATGACTTCCTTTGTCATTGCCTGCAATTCCATCATCATTTTGATACATTTTCCCAAATTCCTTATTTTTTATTAGGCAGTTGACCTATCATGGAGTTGGAGATACCAGAGGGTGAAATATTTAGCTCATTTGTTTCCTCCCAATGAAAACTGTGTAGGGTTAGTTTGAAAAAGGAAACAAAATTGATAATGAAGATGCATTTAAAATATTCTGATAAAAAAAATGTACCAATTTGGGATTGCTTAAAAAATAGCCATTTGCTCTCTTAAAAGGACTAAAGGCCTAATTGTTTTCAGCAAGATGCAAATAAAATAAGAGAAAGTGTAGTAGGTGGACTTTGATATCACATTCTGTATGGTCATCAAATAATGAATTGTTTCCCAAATCTGCTATACATTGCATAGCAAAAATGAGATATAGAAAAGCCCTGGGCAGAGGTTCTGGTCCCAAGAAAATTACAAAAGAAAAAAAAATCATTTTGAGAAAAATTCTATCACCAACTATATTTAGTGTGAACAGAAAATCACAATAATCATCTCGGTTCTTATGAGAACTATAGATACCTAGAAAATGTTACACAAAGGCAAACGGCTTACATAAAGATTGCTTGTCTACACTTACAAGATGTAGGTAATTATTCCTACAGACCACATGTCCACCTCTGGTCCATAGGCACAGCCTCTAAGAATTTCAGGTGCTGCAGAAAGAATGAAAACTGTGTTAGGTTGGAGCTTACATGCAACATTCACATGATAATAACAAGCAATGGGGAAGAAACAAGTTCATCAACAAAACTTCAGAGCCTTTTCATAATCAGACTTCTCTCCCCACAGTATGAGGCTACAGTGTTTCTTACGTCTACTTTAGTAGGAGATCTTCAGTCTTTCCAGGTGTGGGATACATAAAAAATATTGATTATAAGATTCTTCATTGGAACCTCATGATATAGCTTGAATCAGAGATATATCTCTGCTCCCAAAGACCTCTTACTTTAAAGAGAGCTTTGTACATAGAAAAGGAAGAAATCAAAGTCAAGCACAGTAAAAGGAAATGGAGGCACAAGGATGCCACCTTGGGATCTGCAGGGGCCACCCAGCAAGTGCCTGTCTAAATGTATGGGGGACAGGACCAAGGAAGAGAGCAGAAGGATCAGCAAATTTCTGACTTTGGTACGCTGGAAAAGAAGCTGGGAGGGGTCTGGGTACTTGTCCTTGCATTAAGAATTACAGGTGAGTCCTCAAGGAAAAGCTATCCCCAGTCAGTTTGGGGTCATGGACTGAGAAAGGGGGACTTTGTGCACAATCAGCCTGCTTATATTACCCCTGCCTACTGTTGTGAAAAGGAAGCACTTCCCAGCCACAAAATGGCCCTGGAGTGGAGAATAACAAAGTATTTTATATTTTTATTCCTCCAGAGATGTGAAAATGCAAAGTTAACTGGCTGTGGCAGTTTGCACTGAGGATTGGTGTAGTTAGGGTTTGCATAACTAACAAAGGAAGAGAAAGAGAAGTGAGAAACCTACCATCTATGGAGAGAGAGGGTTCAGGTGTACAATCCAGAATAAGATGTTCTTCTATTTTGAACTAAAGCACTATCTGTGCTTTGTGGGTTCCCTGAAGAAGGAGCAGCTTGAGAAATGCTGAGAGTTCCTTGAGGAAGGTCTTTGGGACCAGGACATCACACTCTCCTCCAGGGTGGAGGCTGGAGAGCGAGTGAACTGGATCCCTTTGCCATGCAGGCTGTAAATGTCATATCCAGTGGGAATATTAATGTGAGCTCTGGAACGAGGCTGTCGTGACGGGTCTCTGGATTTACTGGAAGGATTACTGTGGATTTCCCACTGACATCTTTCAATACTATCCTCTACGGCACCCCTTTCCAATCAGGATTTTCTCTTTTCTGCAGAAATTGTGTTACATAAAATATAGAGATGAAGAGCCTGCACTGTGACACGAGAGTGTGCATACTAGCACACCAAACAGCAATTCAGCAAGATGGGCCCTTAAAGGAATTGTATCTGGATCCAAGTCATTTTTCTTATTTACAATGAACTATATTCCTAGAAAATATTCTTTTCAAGATTTAATTCTAAAAAAATTTAAAAATGCATACTCAATGCCTACTTTGTTCACTGTCAAGTAGCTCTCATTTCCTGGGACAACCTGCACCTCCCAGAAGGTGCTTTTAAGTCTCAGCAGCCCCAACAGTGAACTCCCACTTGCAAATGTTTGTTTATCCCGATGCAAAGGGAACTCAGATTAGGCTGCCACTTCCAGGAGGGCTGCGGCTGCCTGTGTGTGTGTCCCTGGGAACTCTTCCAGGCTGGGAGCTGAAAGCATGCATAATTAACATGCATATTTAACATGCATTAGTCCTTCCAGACTCAGGTCATCCCATTAGATTTTTCTCTGGTCTGAAGTGTTATCAAGCCCCACAATCACATTTAATCATAAATATAGAAATACTGGGAAGGATATTTTATTCACATTTTATGAGTCTTGGGTTTTGTACCTTTCAAATCTAAGTGAATTAGACTCACTGAGTTTGAAGTTTACTTTAAGTTTTGACTTGCTACCCACTGTGGTATAAGTTAAGGATTAGTTACTGATCATCCAAGCAAAAAGAGAGGCCAGGCACCAGCATCTGACCCTGCAGAACCTGCTGTACTTCCCACCTGTCCTGCTACTGTGGCTGCTGTGGATGCTGTCCTGTGGGAACGCCTCCTGTCAGCTCTGGAGAAATCAGGCCTCCCATCCCGTGCTGACCAGTGACACACTCCCCCTAGGGTCAGGTGTTTTTTCACCATTTCTCATAGTTCCCAGCCCAAGAGGTCCAAACAGCCTGAACGTTGGAGGACAAAGTGCCTTTGGGATCCACTCTAAGGAGCATCTGAATTTCTCACCTTCCTAATATGAATGCCAACACACTCTCCACAGGCAGTTTATTTCCTTGTAAGGTATTATGCTGTAATGTGAGTAAACCTGTGGTGTGAAAGGCTAAATTTCCCACAACCAGATTAACTGAGACAAAAGAAATATAAAATGGTCTTGCTCTTCATAATAAAGTTCTCTTAAAAAAGGATGTTAAAAAAACCCTAGAATTTAAAATATTTTAGTCAAAATATAAAGTTAGGATGAAGCAAAGTCTAAGCACGAGACATAATGAGATATCATTCTCAATAGCCTTTAAATGTTTTCAAGTACTAGTTAGTTTGACCTTGACTTTCTATAGAATCAGCAGAGTACTCCCATGTAATCTACCTGAACCCTTTCCAAGAGTCAAAAGCTTTTCAAAATAAACTGTGGGCTCTGGCACTCCAGTACTTTAAGTCTCCTGGGTATCCAGTGTCCTCACAAGTGATTCTCTAATGTGATCTCAGAGTGAGAGATAGTTGGTTACTCTCAATTTAGTTCAAGAAAAGATATTCATTAGTCTACATTTTAATTTTATAAACACTTGGTTGTTCTTTTTATCTTTTTTTACACCTCATTAGCAAAACAAACTACACAAAATTGGGGGAGAAGAAATTATTTCAAGGTATAAAACAGTTTGTTAAAATGTATTTTAGAGGTTAGGGGTATAGTTCAGTGGTAGAATGTGCCTAGCACCAAAAACATAAAAATAAAATATTTAAAAAATGTTAAAATACAACCATCTTTTCTGAATAGTCAATAACCATTTAATAATTTTCTGGCTGCTTTCTAAGTGAGTCAAACTGTCTGCTACTTTTTAAAATCACCTTATCATTCATGTTACTGTTCATCAAACAATGAATTCCACAAAGTTCTCAGGATATCTCCTACCCCAATCTCCAGCAGAGTCTAATTTTGGTAAATGATCTCAGAATTCCCATGATTCCAGATAAATCCTTTAAAAAAGTAATTTCAATTGCATATAAAATCAAACAAAAATTCAAACTTGGTATTTATTTACTAATGAGCATGTAGGCCAGGGAGTGATGATTTTTTTTTTTATAAGATGATAACACCCTTAAAACATTTAGAGACTGAAAGTCCATCTAGAGATTATAATGAATTCTACTTTATCAAATAAAATCACTGTGATCTGTTTGGGAAATTATCCTAAAATTAAAAGTATCAGGTATGGCCAATCAATTACTGGGACCATTGATCCTCGATTTCCCCTTTTTTCCTAAACTCCTGGGAGAAAAATAAAGGGACACTTGGTTATTGACTTCCTTCCTTTCTTCAGTGTCCTAGACGAGCTGTATGATCCTTTGTACTTATTGAGTTAAAACTACAGAGTGGCCTTCTTTATCAGATGACTTTAAGCTACCTAATAACTTTTGGAGAAAAATATAAGACACTAAGTTGAAACTAAGAAATAAATAAATTCATTAAAAAAAGAAATGATTTATTCACTCACTCATTGAATAAGTCATCTAACAGTTATTAAGCATCCTCTATATGATGAGCCCCAACAGGGTGTGCTGAAGGAATAATGGGGACCTAAAGGGAACAAGAATCTGCCATCATTGAGCTTACGGTTTAGTTGGGGAGACAAATGCTAATTTAAAAAAATAAAAAAATAAAAATGCAAAGTAACAGCTGGAAGTGCTTGAAGGGTTAATGCTTTCAGTAGGGAGTTGGCCTAGACACAGAGGTTAGGGAAGATGACTGGATGAAGCCAAGTTTGAACTGAGATAAAAAGGTCCTAGAGAAGTTAACTAGGCAGAGGAGAAGAGGGCAGTGGTTGAGGAAAGATAGAGAAGAGATTTCAAGTATTGAGCACCTATGCAAAGATCCATTGGCAGGAGGGGGCAGGGCACACTCAAGGATCTGATAGAAGCCAGTGAGGCTAGGGCACGGCCAGGTGTGTAGTGAGGCCCAGGTGTAGTGAGCTCCTGTGAGGCCAGACTGCAGATTGGGTTGTCAGAGTTTTGGTTTGTTTTTAAATTCTCTCCTCTGCTTTCAGTTGAGCAATTCAAAACATATGGGAGAAAATACCTATGTGCATCTTAAAGCCTAAACTTGACTTTTCAGAACTACTCTCCCTACTACAGCCGAGAGGAAAACACAGGTTTTTCACTGTACAGCATTACAGTGGGGAGCCACAAAAATCTACTGTATTTTTCACTCAGCATCTGAAGTCTCATAAACTGTACCCTGGAGACGCAGGGCAGAAAGAAGAAAAAGAGAGAGGGGATGTAGCTGGAGGAAGTACACCAGTGTTTGGAATTCTCTGTCCCTTCCTGTTCCTGACTTGATCTAGGAGCCAAAAGGGGAAGAGCGCACTCAGGGGCGCTGTCTAGGGCTGGCAGCAGTGTGGACAGCAGAGAAGACTCCAAACTGGGTGCTTTTCTTAGCATCTGTACCTTGTGAAGTCCTTTGTTTAGCTGTCACCTACATTGTAGGCTAAGAAAAGTTCATAGCCCAATTCAGATTTGGTGCACTTTTTGCTTTGACTGCTAAGGAGAATGGTAACACTCCAGGCAAGTATGCCCCAGTGCCATCCAAAGGAGCCGCTGAGACTGGAACACACAGGAGACTTCCAGAGGAGGTTGCCTCCGACTCTAACAGCAGCCTTGTCATGTTACCACAGTGAATTTCAGAACAGTATCAATTCTATGGGTGCCATGTTGAAGGTGTGAAGGGCTGAGGAGGAATTTGAAGCCTCTGTCACTTTAGATATCTATGGCTGAAGAGCAAACAAGTTAGAAGGATGTTTTCAAACACA